ATTGCATCGATTGGCGCGAAAATCGGGAAGTAAACCCTAATTAATCTCTTCCTCTTCTCCCCCAACCTAAACCCCTATAAAGTATAAACCCTCCTCGCCTCTCCTCCCTCTTTTCCTTGTAGATTCTGATTTTGTCTCCATGACGCTGCTCCGATCTCGCGCAATCCGGCCAACGGTCTCGGTCTCGGACAAGCCACGCCCTGAACGGACCGCCGCCAACATCCAGCCGTCCACTCCCGCTCGGGCACAAGAGCCCGATGTTCATCGCTCGCCCGCAGTCGACAGATCTGGTCCTCTCGATGTACCCATTTACACCTCCCTGAGGCGCAGTCCTCGTCTTGCATCTCAATGCAACGGCCTTGAATCTCTGTCTGACAAAGAGGTTAGTGTTCCAATTTCTGGCAAGAGAAAATCGAGTGTGGATGAAACGTTTTTGAGTTTGCGGTCAGGGAAGAGAGTTGCTAAGAGGGCTGGGAGTGATGGATTGGAAATTCACTCTAGGAATTTGGATTTCGAAAGCGATTTGGTCAGTGGGAATAAGACTGATGACCGCTCACAGTCTAGTGTTGTCGCCAGTAGAATGGCCAATGAGGATAAGGAAAAGACTGTGAATGCTGCAGATAAGAGTGCTAATGGCATGTTAGTGGGGTCTAGTGCTCAAGTTTTACTAGTAGAAAGTAAGAACAAAGGAAAGGGGATAGTGGAAGATTCCCATCAAGACAATCATGTGGAGGTTAAATCTATCGACAAGCCAAGTAGCTCATTGGGTAGAAGAAAATATACAAGGGAGGAGAAGGGTAAGGGTATTCAGGTGGAGGATGTCTCTTCTCCCATCACGAATGAGATTGCCGGAGCTGCAGTTGAAGAAATTGATATCAACAACTCAGTTAACAATCACAAACCCCCTGATGCCTCTGGAACAGGATTGGCTGCTGCGGCAGTTAATGCAGAACAAAGACAGATTCATAATGGTGTTGAAATTCGAAATGATTCAAGAACGCGGCGCTTTCGGAACATTGCAATGCAAAATGCTTCCAGATTTGCTCATTTTGATGCTCAATTAGAGGAAGAAGAAGACTTGTCAGATAAAGAGGTTGAACAACAAGTCGAAGATTGGCCTGGCCCCTTCTCTACTGCCATGAAAATAATTAAAGACCGAGAAGAGGACACGAATCTGTGTATTGGTACAAGTGTCTCCAGCAAAGAAAAATCTTCACCAATTATTTGGACTCCCAGAATAGACTACAGTTTTGCTCCTCTGAGGGCTCCATCTCTGCAAGAACTATCCTTGCGAATTCTTGTCAAGAATGCTGATGCCATCAATTCGCTTGACTATATTCCAGACGCACTGAGGATTAAAATTTGTCAATTGCTTTGTGATTCTAGGAGAATGGACGTACACATTCTTGATCTTCTTGCCCGTGGATCTCCAACAGAAATTCGTGTTCCCGATTGCTCATGGCTGACCGAGGAACAGTTCACCGAATGTTTCAAGAACTGTGACACCAGCAACTTGATGGTATCTCACTCTCAGAAGTTCACTTTCAACTTTAATACAGCATCATATATCTCATTTAACTGAATGTTTTATTTTTCTGTGAAGACAACATTATTGTTTTATTTCTGTATATTGGATATTGAACCATATGTGAGATTAGCTGTTATTCCTGGAAAACAATGATATTGAAAGGAACAAATCATGAATTATCCCGTGATAAACATGTTTTCACACCTAAGAAAGAATCCTTCATGTGTAAGATGCAATCATGGTGTTCATTATAACTAATATCCTCATCCACCTCCTTTTTTAAACAGGTTCTTCAACTCGACCAGTGTGGGCGTTGTATGCCAGATTATGTATTACCCTCCACCTTAGCAAGGTCACCAAAAAACTTGCCGGTGCTATCATATTTGTCTTTAAGTGGTGCATGTCGGCTTTCCGACTTGGGGCTACAGGCACTTGTTTCCGCTGCTCCTGCGATTAGATCTATTAATCTCAGTCAATGTTCTCTTCTAACATCATCTAGCATTGACATGTTATCTGATTCATTGGGGTCAGTTTTAAGGGAATTGTATATCAACGAGTGCCAAAACATCAATCTGAAGCTTATTCTGTCGGCGTTGAAAAAGTTTGAGAAGCTGGAAGTATTGTCCCTTGTGGATCTTCCTTCAGTGAGGGGTCGGTTCTTGAGGGAATTTGTTGCTGCTAGAGGGCAAGGCCTGAAGAAGCTATTTCTGGCCAACTCTGTGTATGCCTCTTGAATTTCTTTGTTCATTCCTGTTTGATTCTGTCATCGAAATTGAGTTTGTCCTTATTTGGCTTTGGGAATTTTGTGCAGGAAATTAACTGACTCTTCTGTTAAAGTCATCTCTGAAAACTGCCCCAATTTAAGTGTGCTTGACCTGGCTAACGTATGCAAGCTGACAGATTCTTCTTTGGGTTACCTTGCAAATGGCTGTCAAGCTCTGGAGAAATTAATTTTTTGTCGTAACTCTTTCAGGCAAGTCTCGTTACTGGAAGGTTACTATCGCATTCAAATGTTTCTGTTATAATTGTGCAAGATATATGGTAACGCTGGCTGTTATATATAAGAACATGATACGTGATTTTTAGGGCTTTTCATATTTTCGTGATGTGTGAGAAATTTGTCGTGTTACTTCGTTAGATGACTCTGCCAATATGTTGATCTTGGAGACGTTATCTGTTTTCTTAATTTTCAAATCGGTACACATAGTTATGTTCTTAACTTCTTATGATTGTTGTTAAAAAAAAAAAACGACAAAAAACTTCTTATGATCTGTGTGCTTTCTGTATTGTATGTCAAAGTCGAGCAGATACCTAATATGTCTTGTCTCTGTTTATAGCGATGAAGCTGTAGCTGCATTTGTAGAAACCGCAGGTGGTTCACTAAAAGAACTATCACTTAACAACGTTAAAAAGGTAAATGGGTCTGTGTGCCATTATGTCACCAATCCATAGACTCATGATTTAAGTCACACTTACACATTTTTTAATGTTTTCAGGTTGGGCACAACACAGCCTCAGCACTTGCTAAACGTTCAGAAAAGCTGCAGATTTTGGATATATCCTGGTGTCGAGATATCTCAGACAATTCGTTAGGCTACATTGTCGATAACTGTTTATCTCTGAAGGTATTGAAGCTTTTTGGATGCACTCAGGTAAGTAAAATGAAAAACCCAAGATCCCTTATCTTCTTTGCAAAGAAGTGAACAAACTCTGAAGAAGAAACCTATCCACTCTTTTGCAGATCACGGGTGTATTCGTTCGAGGTCACTCAAACCCTAATGTCAAGATCTTAGGTTTGAAGATGGATCCCTTCTTGGACCACCTTAACAAACAGCCTTGCTGATAGCTGAAAGAAACTCCCACA